CAGCAAAGGCAAGCAATATTATAGGGGATAATTAACCAGCAACCAACATCAACTCAAAAGATACACATAGAATACTCTAGGCAGCAAACCGATCAACACCAAAGGCTAAACACATTCCTAAGCATTCTACAAAGCTAACAATTTAAGAGACACTCAACTGCAAATGGAGGTATACACTTGACCACAAATTTAGCAAAAATGAAGACATAAAAAGGGCTCAAAATGGGTTACTCTTGGCAGTAAGGCAACAAAGAGATTCAAGAAACAAAGAAAAGCTGATACTTTGGAATAAAATGCAACTACACCACATACTATCTAACATACTAGTTAATCTTGAAATCCATACACCTATGTGAATAACAATCTTAACAGCAACAAAACTAAATACAGAACACATGATACTTGACGATAGTATGAGCAAAATAACTTAGATTCATCGACATTCAAATATCAAACGAAGCAGAAGACTATATAGACTCGAACAGTGAAACATAGAATCAATCATACTAAAGCTAAAGTGGCAAAACGATATTAAACATAGACAAAAGTGATCACTTAAGCATACATGTATAGCATATACAAGCTACCGTCCATCAAAATCAATTAATAGCAACACAACAACAAAATAGTGAATTCATTACACCGAGACACCATGTCAAAGCACAAAAAGGTGAAGAAAGTATTATGGATGAGACATTACCTCTTCTTGGGCAGCGAACGAGACCGAGACGAGTAGGGGAGCAACCTTCCACTATCCTTCTATTGCACGAGCTCAGATTCAAACAGCAAGCCCCAAGAAGATTTGAACGAAACCGAAACAGTGACCCTTTTAAACTATATTTTCTATCGATAAATTATGACTAACTTTGTACCTCTCTGCCTCAATCTCTTTTTCAATCTCTTTTTTTTAAAACTATTTTTCCAATACCAAATTCCTCCTCCTTACAAATGAATGGAAAAGATGTTATATAGAGGAAATTAGGGTAGATTTTTTGGGGGAATCCGGATGGAATTAGGGCCAACTTGAATTTCAAACTCAAAAATTATTTCACCATTTAAGGGAAACACCCTTTTTCCTGCAATTTTGACTCTTTCCGGAAGAGGAAAGGAGGGTAGACGCGTGCTCCCCTTTGCTGTTACGATATTAAATGCGGATAGGGACATTGGAGAAGAAACAAGAAAAATCGCAGCCTAGTACTAGTTCACGCGTTCCTCGTTGCTTTCCGTGTGTTTTGACGGAATTTCAGAGCTGTTTGGACTCATGAAATTGGCGTCCGACTTGCTGCTCGTTTCTGGGTTTGAAGGAAGAAAAGGAGGACGCAGGGGTGGGGTCTGTATCGCTGTTGTTGCTGTATGTATTGCTGAGTATTGTTTGGTCTGTGAATTGGAATTGTGTGCTGGAGTGGGCTGTAGGGAATTGGAAGGTAATGTTGAAATGGGTTTCTAGTGGGCTGCTGTAATTGTTCAACCAGGGGTTAGGCCCAAATTTGCTGAATTGGGTCACTAGAAAAATGTCCCAAAAATTTGCCTCTTAATGGGTTTAAGGTAAGGCAAGAAAAGGCTAAAAGTGCAATACGAATTAATTAATAAGCTTCTTTATTTTGACGAAATAAAATAATTCACATAATTATAACTAATTAATTTAAGGTATAAATTATTATATAACTAAAATAATTAGAGTTAATATCTCAAACGATCATTCAACTAAGAGTTTTTATCTTACAAAATCATTTACCCTAATTTAACATTAAAAAATCTAACATGACAAAATAATTTTTTTTTTCTAATATTATACACAGACCCCACAGATACACAAAATTCATTTTTTCACCAAATCCACTGACAAGTTAAATAACGAATTCAAATAGATGATTAAATATTTTTTAACGCGCATTTTAGCAAGAAATTGAACTCAAAAAAAAATGTTTATGTTATAAATAAGAGAAAAATTACTATTACTAAAGTAATAAGAAAACGTTGGCCTGGCAAAACATATCACAGTAAGGTCAAAATATTCTAAAATGATATCAAATAAATAACTTATTGATAAAATAGATTCAAAGTCAACGAAAAAGAAATAAATATTGCACATGCATTTGGTAGTTGTAAATTTAGTTAATACCGTATACTGTTTAATTGATACGTGTTTCAAAAATAGATTTGTATCATTTAACTACAGTTATTAATCATAGAAAAGAGCTAAAAATGGTAGATCTCATGCTAAAATGCTGAAAATATTTACTTACCAATCAACCTAAATACACTATTTTAATTTGGGAGTGTGTGGGTGGGATAAAAGAAATTAATTTTCCTTAATTTTGTTTATTTGATTTGGTTGAATGATTTTATTGATACAAAATAAAGTTTAATGACTTCACAATATAAATTCGCATAGTTGAGTGACATTTTAAGATATTAACTCAAATAATTAACCAAATATTTAATTAAAACAAAATCTTTTTGAGACGATTTTCGAATATTTATAAAATATACTAATTTACATACATAATTATGTAAAACATATATATTATCTAAAAATTATAAAAAGTGACAAAACTATTTAAAATAACTTGAAAAATGTTTTGAATTTTATAAAGTCATTTATTTCAAATCGTTTGGAATTTTAAGAAGCTCAAAATTAATTCCTATCATGGATGGTCAAAATTAGGTGTCAACAAACGCAAATTGTATAAAATGCGTTTGTGTTTGTATAAAGCGAGAAAAATTGTATATATATATATATATATTTCGTCCCTCTCTCCCCTCTCCCAGATCTCGCTCGCCACTCTCCCAGATCTCGCTCGCTTTACTCGTCTCTCTCACTTTATACAATTGATCTTTTTGTATATGTATACCAAAGCAGATTATACAACTGCTTTCTTTGTATATGTATAGCGAAATATACATATTTATGTTTGCTATGGAACGCAATTATGCAAACTTTGCTATAGCATACAAATATGAATTTTGTGTTTGCTATATGTGAAAGTTGCTCATTATAATATATGTATACTTAGCAAACTCATAAAGATAAGATTTTTCTTTGAAAGCGGCCTTTATTTTAAAAAGGAGTCTCAATTAAAGCCCAACCAAAAGGAGCAACAAAAGCAGCGTCATTAGCGTCAGTAAAGAAAGCAAATGTAAATTTACCTTTGCATAAAGTTTAGGAACTAAAGAAGAAGTGACGTTTCCCATCCTCCCATCATCCTCGAGTTTCATATTTGAACTATTCAATAACATCTTTTTCCCTGAATTATAACTTTCTTTAGATTAAAAATATTTTGGTCAAATAAGTCCACCTAGCACAAAGATTTCACGGTAAATTAAGAGAGTTCCGTGAAACCTTAATAATTTAGGTATGAAAATATGTCACTCCAATAATAGCTCGTGTTCGCACGCAACAGTCAAATGCTGACAATGCTGTCAGGGCATGCATATTGCCAACACCCATTGTTTAAGCGCAACAAAGGCAAAATCAAAATTTAAAACTTTATAACAATGATTTCAAATGCTAACAAGTAATAAGTAATAATTATGTTCTAAACTTAATAATTGTATATTTAGAATAAAAATAGACGGACCCATATCGGGTTTCTAGCTCCGCCCCTGCGCGCAGAAAAGGATGCGGCCCCTCCAAGTGCCGCCTACTGGACCAGCTTTTCCTTTGTTCAAGTCCAAGTCATAGTTAATGTAAATGTAAAGTAGCTTTACTTCTTGTATTTTTATTATGCGCTTCTAGTTTATTTATGTCAAATTCATGTAACTAGGGTTTATTTTTTTAAAAGTCTGATTAAGGGGTATCAAGTAGTCAAACTTTCAAACAAGAATACTCGATTAATAGTTATTTTCTCTAATGCAAGCAAACTTTCACACATTTTCATTCATGTTCTCTCAATTGCTAATATTGACTTTTTCCTACGTCACAGTCTAATCTAGCGTACAAATAATCTCTTTTGTTGGAAGATACTAACTGAACACACAAATAATACGCCGTGCAACAATATTGTTTGGGGGCTTGTATCATAAACCATTGTCATCTCAACTTATCTCTTAACTTTTTTGATTTTTTTTTTTCTTAAACTAAAGAAGGAAAAGGATAACAAAAAAAGAATAGAAAAAAAAAAAAAAAACACTATACTTTCTATGGTTTGAGGTGTGACAGGGTCATGTTATAATAGTTTAGTTATATAATTCTGGGCATAGTGTGTACCCCCATTGATACAAAAGTCCAAAATGTAACTGATGGTATCACATGATGAAAAGAGTTGGAACACCAAAAAGTGTTGGGATATTACATGGCCCCCTCCATGTGCATTACCTCCTTCTTCATTACTCATAGCCAGCTATATTATTACTTAACCAAAAAGTAGCATATGGGAAATTAAACAAGAAAAAGTTGCACTTTTTTAAATTGTTTTTACACTAATCTTGATAATCACTTTTAATTTATTTATTTTAAAAAAAAAAAAACACTAGAAATAATTTTACTCTAGTCTAAGCATTACACTATGCAGATTCAGAATTTACAAATTCTGAATTCTATAAAAGATAGCTTACTGAGTACGAGATAAATTACTCCCTCATATTCATATTATATAATGTTTTTAACTTGGATATACCTCTTAAGAAATTCACTAGAGTAAAGTGTTTTCACTAAATTATTCTTAATTAATTAAATAGTATCTATTTAATATGATTTCTTGATTTATATGAATCACATTGTCTAAATAACGGTAAATTTGAAAAAAAAAAAAAAATATCATCTTGATTAAAAATTCTCTTATTTTGGACTATTTTGGACTGAATGTATAAGCTTAAAACACCTAAAAAAAATACCATGTAATATGGACCAGAGGGAGTATATTTATATATATTCAGTAGATTTCTTAACCATTCACACAATGTTTTACCAAAGCTACTGAATTTTGAAGAATCGTAGTTAGAACTCTTGCTTCGCCTTTGATTTCCAACAACATTTGAAACTAAATACAATTGGACAATAAAAGAACTTATACTAGTGTCATTTATCCCTTGTAAAAGAAATGAATTTCAGACTGAATCAACTTATACAAGATTGAAACAGCATGTTATAGTGCTGAACAACGCAGTTGATGATATTATACAACTTCTCAAATAACAAATAATTAAGCCGACTACTTTGGTAGGGAGCGCTCATACCCCCTCCAATTGAATCAGTGTATTTCGAATACCAGATGTCTAACTCGAACAAAATAAGTTGACTACTAGCAGCAGTACTGCAATGTTCAGATATGTTGCAAGAGAAACACAACAAACAGCAGAGGAAACAGGTGAAAAAGCAGAAGGTGCAAGAGCAGCAGAATCAGGGCCAATAGGGTACATCACATCATCAGGATTTTTACTCGGATTCGAAGGAATAGTTGGTATTGAAGAAACTGGAGGCACCACACCACCAGAAGAAGGCAAGAGAGGTGCAATATCTGGTGATATCTCTGAGAATGGAGACGCCGCTGGCACCGGAGGATTTGCAAGAAACTCTACTGGTGTTGCTGATATCAACTTCCTCTCCACATTCAGTGACACTGCTAAAGGTGTTTTTGCAATGAATATGCACATAATGAGTGTTGCTACAACAAGAAAGCAAAAGGTGCTGGCCATTATCTCAGAAAACTAAAATTCAGTTTAATTCAATTCCTTTTTCTCTTGCTAATGATGAAGAAATCAATAGCACATAGGCTCTTTATCTCTCTTTTTTTGAACAATAATGAGTGAGGAGAGAAAAAAGATGAAAAAGGAGAGATTGATCTAAGATGGGCTATGATTAAAGGTGAGCAAAAGGTTTGACAATTTATATGAATTTAGTGAGTGGTATTGTAAATATGTACAGGTTGGCATGTTAAGAAGTAGACAAAAATTCCCTAGGTGATAATAATTATTTATTATCTTAAGTACTTTATTTTAATTATATCATGCTTTTTTCTAAAGGGTCTTTTATAGGTACTGATCTGGGATCCTCTCAAAGTTGATTTATTGGGCAGTGGGCTCTATATATGATATTCCTTTTCTATTGCCCTAGTTGCAAATCACTGTTGGAGTTCTACAGTCTCAAGGACATGAACTAGTTCTAAGCATGACTCATTTTGACAAACTGAATTTGTTTCAAATATTTTACGTTTTAAAGAAATAAATTAGAGCATTACTTTTTCTCAAACTCATCCTTACTGCTCCAATTAGTAGAGTGTTTATTAAGTGAGACGTATAAGATAAACACAGATGACAGTATAAGCAAATAGTCGTTGAAAATATCTTTCTTAAGAGATGAACGTACACAAAAACTTAGAAGACAAAACAAGAATCAGAGAAACTATTACATTTAAATTTAACATAAGTGAAGAGAAACCAAAGATTGAATTATTGGTGGGCAAAGTTGTTGAAAGATCCCCCAAAAGGCAATCAAAATTACCTAGGGAATGATACAAACAAGAAAGTCCAAAAGCACTCATCTCCACCCTGAAGTTTCATAAGAATTTTAAAGTTAAAAGATACTATCTAGTATAATTTTTTATACAGTTACTTAATTATTCAAAAAGAGAACTTGGAGTTTGCCCATTAGAGCCAACTTAGTACAGAAAATGACAAAACTAAGTCATAAAATTAATATGTGCCTTCCAACTTTTCTACCTTTTACAAAGTGGCTCTAGCATCTTTCAGTGTGATTACCTATTAATAATTATTAACCTTAGTTAACTGCATTGGACATTAATAAATTCTAAAAATTGACATCAGAGTTTGATTTTAATATAGCTAGCTCTAAAAGCAAGAACCTAGAGATACAACAAGTCTGGACATCAAAACTTAAAAAAATATAGTGAATAAACATAAAATAGAATATCATAAAGCCCCTTATGTTGTCTTTGGGTGGAAGTCTAATAGGTTGGTGCTGGGACATGTGCACATATAACTGCTACTCAAAACACAGCTAAGAATTTACGAAGTATGTAGTTGCCTCAAAATCAACTTTAAAATTGCAGGACTGAAGTTGAAAATCTCGAATTTAATGGTTGGCTTGCCAATGCACCAAAGCCTAATTTTAGACATGAGCCTAACTTCAGACCTGAATTTGTGAAGTTAGGCCCAAATTCAGTTATTTTACAAATACTAAAGTGTCCCCCTTGAAATTTAGTAAATCAAATTACAAGTTACCCTGATGTGTGACCTCTTAAGTTATGAGACCATACCTTTTTGCCGTTAGATGGAAGTTCATACGCTGTAATACATTTTCTTGACTGTTAAACTTTGCCACACGCCTGAGGTTCAGATATTTTACTAGCTGCAGGTATACATTCTACCCTGTCAGAATGGTGGTTTACACAATTGTTTATGGATTCAGTCTTCACAGGTGGTAGATTTTCAAATCAAACTATAAATGGAAATGAGCAGTAAGGATCATCATTGTAGTAACTGAGGAATGCCTCTTGTCTGTCTGACTGTATTGTATATGTTTGTGAGGCATCTTTGTCAGCGTATCTAAGATAAGTATCACATGAACAAACGCTACATGTTCATCAAATGAATCGAGCACTATGCCAGGCTTGCCTCAACTGCAAAACACCTAAAATAAAATATAATATTCTTATTCAACTGCTTATCATTTAGGAATAAAAAAAACTAAATTGTAAATTACGTAACTATGGAATTACTGAGAATAAGGGGGATGGGCTGTTCGCTCACGTTAATTCAGATAAACTGAATCTCGAGTTTGAATGGTTGAACTAAATAGAAAGCTCAACTTCAAACTAATACAAGCTGACTTGAGATTTATTCACAAACATGTCAGTATTTTACAGCTCTACTATAACTATTTCTCTTTTATTAACCCAAAGTTCAAACAAAAGATCCCAACCCAAAAATTAAAATAAAAGATTCACCTCAGATGCAACCACTTTGAAAGTGTAACATACCTCACAATCCACCAGGGAGCCAGACCAATATCTTCTCGTTCAGCGCTTCCGCAAATTCATCCCAGGTTCATACAACCTGAAGACAAGCATCTCACTTTTGTTTCGCAACATCAAATAAATTTTATTGGAGGACAGAGGTGAGCATATCTTTTGCTTGTTCAACTAGATTAGCCATGGAATATCTGTTTGACTTTTAGCTGCATTTAGCGTCAAACAGCTCATTCCTGGGAAGGTTATTACAAAGCTAAAGTAAATTTATAGCATCAAGTTTGGTATCCAAAAGTAACAAATTTAACAACAAACAAAAATGATTACTATTGTCCTGTCCTATTTGACTTTCTTAAACAACTGGCAAGTAGAAAGAAAAGACAGAAGCTACATTTCCTACCTGGTCGTTTGCAAGGCCTTTTTATCCTGGTTCAATTCTAAGGGGAAACCCCCTTCATTTTCCCAGGAAAAAAATATTTCCAGCCAGGTAATAGTTCTCTCTGAGGTCAGCCACGGCACGAAAATCTGATTCATTCACGTTTTTAGCTATGACAGAACATGCATCAAAGATCCCTTGAGTGTGAGCATCCTTTGAAGGGCGCAGGAAGAATAATTACTTGAGTTGTCGCTACTATAGGAGGTCAGATCAGCCCCTCTCATCCCCATGAACAACATCACTATACCAACCTGCCACAACATCAGTAAAAAGAAGTGAGAGTTAGCTTGAATAACAAAGTGGAAAACTACAAAGACAGTTTCTAAATAGCTTTGAATTTGTATCGCTCTGGTCGTATAGGCCCATGAATTCTGCCAGACCATAGCCTTCTCTCCTCATTTTCAAAATTTATCTCCAAACATTTTTGTAAAACTCTGTCCTAGACATTGTGAAATAGCACCTTGGATATCACAGACAGTGTTAGGAATTAAATCCTGGCAAATAAAGTTAATGAGTGACAGATAGAAACACCAAGAATTTTCAGAGAGAACACTGTTAAGAACTGCCAAACGATGTGCATGACTGAATTGTGAAATAGCACCTTGGATATCACAGACAGTGTTAGGAATTAAATCCTGGCAAATAAAGTTAATGAGTGACAGATAGAAACACCAAGAATTTTCAGAGAGAACACTGTTAAGAACTGCCAAACGATGTGCATAACTGAAGCAGACGGATGCCTAAACTATAGTGTATAGAGTCCCCAGCAAATCCTGGCAAATAAACTATAGTGTATAGCACCTTGGATATCACGACAGTGCTAGGAATTAAATCCTGGCAAATAAAGTTAATGAATGACAGATAGAACACCAAAAATTTTCAGAAAAAACACTGTTAAGAACTGCCAAACGATGTGCATAACTGAAGCAGACGGATGCCTAAACTATAGTGTATAGAGTCCCCAGCAAATTTCTTTAACTCACGCATCTTTCCCTTAGTGACCAGAACAGCTAAGAACTCTTCATATCTACATCTACATAATTCCAAGAACCTCAATTGTAGATGGTAGCATGATCACTACTTTATAAAAAGATAGTAACATGATCACCACTTCTAGAAAGATACTAATTTGTATAAGCAAATATATCCAACAGACTTGAATGATAAGGCTGTAAGCTGACAGCAGCAAGTCTTTTCTGTCCTAAATCAAGGCATCTGAGAAACAAACTGCTAATTCTCACAAAGCCCTTCAACTGGGATGTGCTCACAAAATAATGCAACAAGATTAGAAGAAAACCATTGTTACAAGAACATGACCGAGCCGGAAAAAAGAAAACAATTAATAGCTTCAAAAGCTAAAAAATAAAGTTAACCTCTTCTCCCACTGCTGCAATAATTATCTGGAGACCTGTACTGCACTTTGTCTTACATATCACTCCAGCTTCGACCAGAACTCTTATGGATTTTCTTTTCTACCATCAGCCTCCTGACCAAAGCAGATCTTTCCCAGTCCTCAGAAGTAGCAAATATGTTTGATAACTGCACGAAAGCACCTGAATTCTCAGGATCAAGCTCTATAATGCGTTGGGCCACGAGCTGTCCTAGTATCTTGTTACCATGAGCTACACATCCTCTCAAAATGGATAACCACATGCTTGAATCTGCATCAAATGGCATCTTTTCGATGAGGTTCACAGCTTCTTCAAGACATCCTGCTCGTGCATAAAGATCTACCATACAGGAGTAATGTTCAATCCCTGGATCAATGTGGTAATCGTAATTCATTGAATAAAACCACCTTTTTCCCTCTTCTAGTAAACCACAATGATCACAGGCAGATAAGACACCAATAAATGTGATATTTGTTGGCGAAACACCTGCACTTCTCATTTCGTGGAATAGATTCAAAGCTTCATTTCCGTAACCATTTGTAGCATAACCCATCAACATAGAATTCCACGAAACCTCATCGGATTTCATCATTTGGTCAAAGAGCTTCCTGGCATCACTAACAAAACCACACTTGCAATAGAAATCAATTAAGGAGGTAGAAATTATTTGATCACAATCAATGCCGATGATAACAGCTCTTGCAAAAATCTGTTCACCAAGTTCAACTGAAGCAATGCTTGCACAGGCACTGATCACACTTGAAAAGCTAAATTTGTCCATCCTAAAATCCATCCTATTCATCCTGTAGAAAAGATTCAGTGCTTCAACTGGACAACCATTTTGATTAAGACCAATTATCATAGAGTTCCAAGATATTAAGCTCTTGTAGGGCATTGACTCAAATAATTGCCTCGCATCTTCAATTCTGTTGCAGTTAAAATATATGGTAATCATAGAATTTAGCAAGATGGTATCATGTGTTTTGAGTTCATTAAAAACTTTGGAAGCTTCATCAGGACATCCACATTTAGCATATGTGTCGATGAGCGCACTAGCAACGACAAGGTCATCCAACAGTCCACGCTTAAAACCATAAACATGCACTTGCAAACAATTTTTAAGGGCATGTGCACTAGCACAGGCATTCAATACACTAGCTAATGTAGAGGAATCCCCTATAACTCCTTCTCTGAGCATCTCCTCAAAAAGCAATAATGCTTCTAACACTTCATAGCATGACACATACCCAGAAATCATGGAGTTCCATAATACAATACAAGGATCAGTTATCAGGTTGAATATCTTTCTAGCATCATCCATTCGACCACATTTTGAATATGCTGAAATTAGTGCTGACAAGGAAAAGTTATCAGGATTCTGCATTCTATTCAAAATATAGCTCGCATTATCCAAATCACCACCCTTTCCATACATGTTAACTAAAGAACTTGCCAACACAGAATCAACTTCAACTTCATCGACTATAATACGAGCATGAATTTGCTTCCCCAAATCAACACTTCTTGCGTTAGCACAAGCTCCTAATGCAGTTGCCAAAACAAATGAATCTATATGTGATGCAGCACCCGTCTCACGAAAATCCCAGTCTATAAACTCCTTAAACAAGCATAAAGCCACTCCAGGGAATCCCATTTTCGCATACCCATGAATAAGTCCATTCCAAACTACTTCATTCTTCCGTGGCATTTCACTCAATAGACTTCTAGCAACACCCAACTCCTCTGCTTTAACAAGACCAAGAATGACCACATTCCAAGAAAATTCATTCTTGGAAGGCATTAAACGAAACAAGTCCAAAGAGTTGTTTATCTTTCCCCATTTCATATACCCTTCAATCATGGTATTCCAAGTGAAGCAGTTTCTCTGAGACATTTCATCGAACAGTAACTCTGCATCAGCCATTTGTCCACACCTAGTGTACATTTGAAGAAGGCGATTGGCTATTGTTAGAGCAGAGTTAAGGATACCCCTTTTGAGGAAAACGAGGTGGAGTTGCTTCCCATTTGGAAGAGATTGGTTGCTGTTAACAGTATTGAGCAGTCGAGCACAAGATTGCAAGTCTAGCTCCATCTACTAGATTATGTGATCATAAATTTTTAAATGGTTCGACAAACACAGAAATTTAGCAAAAATATATCTTCAGGTGAAAATGATAAGGCAGTTGATCACACTAATACTCTGCAATGAGTTAATTACTCACTTCAACAATGTTTAATCTTCTAGTGGAGACTTGAAGGAAAATTTTCTTTACAACTGATGGTTACACCAACTTTATTGTTTGGGGTTGAGTATTAGCTAATCAAAGAATTCTCATATTTCACAAGATGAAGTTTGCATAAATAAGGATGTTGCCTTGCATTATAGGGAGGTGTGGTTATATTAGGAGAGAAAAATTAGAAATGAAGACATTCGTGAAATTGAAAAAAAAAATTGGCGGAAGACGAGATGTCGGAAGCAAGATTGAGATGATTTGACATGCGCAAAGTTGGTTATGTTATTTGACATGCGCAAAGTTGGTTATGTTTGATATCACAATAGTGTAGAGGTAGATTGAAAAATATTACGGAGAAATGATTAAATAAGATATGACATAGTTTCAGCTTATCTAGGACATAACAATAGATAGGAGGTCGTGAAGGACACATATTAGGAAAGAAGGTTTAAAGGTAGTAGTGTGTTGTCTCACTAACCCGTCCATATTGCTTATGTAGTTTCTTACCTTTGATTTATGTAACTTTCTATTGTTTCTTGCACTTCCATTAGCATATTATCTTGTTATAGTTATTGTTCAATATGTTTTGTTATGCTTTCACTATATATATAAAAAATCTCTAAATATAATTTATTCCTCTCCAAACCCATTTTGCAGGACAGTATTGGTAGGCTGTTGTTGTTATATATAGGGAAAATTACGAGTATAAGCAAACATATACTAGTTAATTAGTTAACATAACTATAGTTTGCCTTAATTACAATTCGCGGCCTACTTTTAGCTATAATTACGTGACTCAACTTTTTAGTTTTGTATAGTTCGCACGTTTGTATAATTCGAAATTTGTATTATATAATTTGTATAATTCAGAATTTGTATAACTATTTATACTTTTGATGTTTGTAATTGTATAAATTCGTTATTTCGAGTTTATATAAAAATAACTGAATTATACAAATGTACCCGCGAATTATACAAACCTGCAAATTATACAAATGTACCCGCGAATTATACAAACGAAACAGCTTAAACTATAGCTACAACTCGTAAATGTGCAAACTATAGTTATGAAGTATAATTAATTAGAGCAACTTTCACATATAGCAAACACAAAAATCATATTTGTATGTTATAGCTATAATTTGCATATTTTGATTTGTATAATTCGCTAGATACATCCAATTTTATACAAATTGTTCAGTTTTGTATAAATTCATTTATACATTGTAATTTGTATAATAAGATCTGTATTTGTATAATTATAAGTGTCTAGGACGAAAATATATGTATTTGTATATGTATTTTTCTCTCGCTTTATACAAACACAAACACATTTTATACATTTGTATACCGAATGGGTAATTGTATACCGAAAATGGCTAATTGTATACCGAATTAGATGGAAAAAATGGGATATTTACTGTGAATTACAAATAAAATAAACTATGACTATATCATTTAATTTGAATTAATAGTTTGTTATTTCATACAATTTTCCCTAATTAAGTTCTCCTTATTATATTACCCGTTCACTAAACTTTAAATAAGTTTACAAAATGGGCTATATTTCAAAACATTGCCATCACAAGTGGCTACATTACTAGGCCCGACCCTAACGCTGGCCCAAACCCTAGACTTCCTCTTTACCCCTGCCACAAAAACGCCTCGTAGAACAACCATTAGAGCAACTCGAGAAGTAAGAGAGACGACTGAAAATACAAGTTCTCCGGCGCCGTCCAAGGCCTATAAATCGGAAGTTCCTCGCATTAGCAATTCTTTCCAACTTCCAAGTAATTCTAATTTCTTTTGCTTCTGTTTTCTCCACCCGAGTATTTTTCGAATTTAAGTGTTTGAAAGATTTTCTTATTGGGAAGTTTTTGTTTTTCTGAAATTAATTCGCAGATGAGGCTGTTAACTCACAATATGTTATCATCCAACATCAAGGGAGTCGCAAATGGATTTCCGTTGAAGATCGAGGTTGTGAAAGTGGTAGAGAAAGAGGTTGATTTTAATATCGATTTTCTCAAAAACATGTTCCATAAGGTTGAATGGAAGGCACTGGCGGAAGCTTCTACAACCATGGGTTACGCCGAACTGCCTGAAAATGTTGATGCTGCTATGCTCGACTCAGATGATTTCCTTCATAAGTTTCATCATGCCCTTCTTGAGCTTCATCTTGAAGAGGGTGCCTTGGTTTGTCCAGAGACTGGCCGGAAATTTCCTGTCAATAAAGGCATTCCCAATATGCTTCTTCATGAAGACGAGGTCTGATTAGTTTTTTTTTTTTTCTTTTTTGGGTATTGATGTGTTCCGGTTTGGAAATGGGGATTAGGGTTTAAGGGGTTTGATATGATATACCATTTTGATTGTAATGCTTTTATTGGAAGACATTGTCGATATTAAGGAGTAATTACCAGAACTTCTTTGTTGCACCACACCACTATATCTGAGATTGTAGTTTTCTGTTTTGAAGTTTATAAGTTTGACTTATTGCGGATATGGGTTTGTCCTTCAAAGTAGGTTTGCCTATTCTATTTTGAAGTTTATTAATTCGACTTATTGCGGTTATGGGTTTGTAGACCGACCAAATCAAAGCTTGAACTTGATTATCTATTAGTGGGTTCATTTATTAAACTAAACCATATCGGCTAATCTCTTGAGAAAAAATCATTAAGATGTTGGCATAGAAATCATTCTTGGCCTACCTTTTGGTATCAGTTACTGCATCAACTTGATTATGGGTTCATTTATTATTATTATCGTGGTGTTAAAAGAAATCTAGTTCAGAAATGGCAACATTGAATAATTTGTTGCAAACATTTTACATTGACGCAGAAGCAATTTATGAAGGCCTTGATGAGAGATGAATATTTTGAGAGCGTTAACATTACAACATCTCTCAAATTTCTAATATGGAGCAAATTCATGATCATAATGATGTAAGATAATTCAATGTACTGTCTGCAACAAAGTTCCAACTAAACAGACCATAATTCTTTCTATATTTGCATAAAGGTAGATTAGTTCTATGACAATTGTGGTGTACAAAGTTAAATTATTTTTTTGTGACATGCGTTGTGTACAATTATCTCTCGCGGAGAAAAGAATAATCCATCATCTGTGCTATATGGATGAGGAACGGCATTTCTTGCGAGGAGTGGTGTCATAGGGGGGAAGAGGCACACCAAACACCCAATCAAGAACATTCAAGTACTTGGATTTGAAGACATCCCTCTCCATAGCATAACAATGCATGATAATTGCAGTTGCCATGCTAAAGATCACGACATCACCTCTCTTTAATTTTTCAGACTGAGGCAAATAATCAACATCAGCCATGCACGTGACGAAACTCTCAAGTGCCCGAGCAAGGCAATAGAGTGAAATCTCTATCCTTCTGCTTTTCTTCTCAATTGCCAGGGCCAGACCAGTAGGGAACTGCAAAAAGTGTTTTATGTTAGCTTTACAAAGAGACTAGATAAGAAAGATAATTAATCTGTCTTAATACCGTTCCCAGTGCCACCATGGGGATGTTACACCTCTTGAACAGCCTGAAGAGAAAACATGTCCATAACCTAACAATGAAACAGCACATGAAGCTTTGAGATGAGCAGTCATTTGAAGCAAGAGTACTTAAACTTGGAGGGGGCTTAACATCGTCAGACAAAAGGACTGAACAATGTGGAAAAATATTCATAACAAAGACATTAAAATGCAAATTTAACAAATCAAATCAGCTCTTACCAGGCAGATGAACAATACATGGAGAGAAATAGACTAGACCTTGCTGTACCGAGGAGACCCTTCGCCAAAATTGTGTTAGGTCTGCAAAAATTTCCTCAAAATGTTGTAATAACTGGAGCTGAAGGAAGATGACTATACATTTATAGAGCTTGGAAATGGAATGAGCTAAAAGCAATATGGACTTTCATGGGGGAAATGTACTTCCAAATGATAAATTATTCGTAGTAACAACTATGCTAAAATAATTCTCCTATAATGGCTACAGATTTTATCAAGCAATGGCTGATGAATGGATAATCCAAGAGAAAAACGAAGAAGACAAGAAGATTTGTTATTGAAGAAACCAACATTCAGTACCTTTTCAAGATGCCTTGACGATGTACAATGAGTGCAGGAACTAAATAAACTGGAAGGTAAACTGGCAGAGCTCTCTTGTAGGCTTGAATTAGAAATGAAATGAAATGTGCACCACATCCTTGATTCTCATGTACTATCTGCATGAACATCCAAAGGGAAAACAGTGCTTGCAGATCAACAATATCAGCATGTCGATTAAACTCTTGCAATCCTTGATTAGTATGAATCCAAAAAATTTCAAGATAGCAGCACCTACCTTAGGCAAACAGATGAAACACAATTAAGAGTCTACTATTGAGGCCAATACAACGGGATGTTTGGTTTTTTCATAACATTTACAGGCTACAGCTGCCTTTTCTTTTTGGTAAGGTATAAAGTGGCTACGGCACTGCAGGTATTTTTATTCATATGAAGCTTATCAGTGACTTGTGCACCATAATTGGACCTACAAAGCAAATTAATGAACAAAACTAATCCTGTACTTAATAGTTTCAAGAACTCTTGATCTGCAGAATTGATAGTCCACACATATCAAACCTCATATACTTCTCCTCTCTAACTGGGTATTCACTATGATAATTAAATCAGAACTGTTCCTTTTGCTGTAATACAACTTAAATGCATTTCACATAGCCCCAAAATACCACATGAAAGAAGAACGGAAAAAATATCACAAATTCCAAACAGTGAACAACATATTTTCCACATACACATAAGAACATCCAGATATTGCTTTTGCCTTCATTAGCTCTAAAAAAGTATTTGACTATCAACCATGCTGGTTCATTGAAAAGCAAAGGGTAATAATAAACAACAAAAAAGGAAAAGGAACTATGATATGGTTAAAATGCATAAATCTACTAAGCAGTTTATTCTTAATCATAAAGTAGTGACTACATAAACTTACTAGAAATAACCAATGGCATCAATTTACAGACGCTTAATAAAAAGATATCGCTCAAGCCCCAAGAGCCCTTGTTGTAATCTTAAAAATTTGTTAATTAAACCCTAACGTTAGAAGTACCCAGACAACCTCAAAATCTTTAAGAATGCAGA